CAGTACTCTGCCCTCTTTTTTTTTTTTTTTTTTAAACAAGAGTCTAAGTAGTCTCCATGGCGAGGAATACTGTTTATTGTTTCGCATGAATCAGAAAAAAAAAACAAAAAAAAACCCTAGCTATTCATATTAGATGAGTGTTCAGATCCAGACTACACTCACTCAGGGTATATCAGTAACATTTCCCATGCTCTGTTTCCTAAACATATGCCATATAGTCTATTAATTTTTACCTCTTCATTCATTCTCAGTGTGACAATAACTGTGGATTACTGAATCTTGCAATACAATTAATGTTAATTCCAGTGCACTAATGGTCCTTAATCCCAAAGTGTGAAGCTTTGTACCCAGTTCTCAAACAATGAAATGATGACAAGAGAATAAACAATTATTATTATACTGGCATTTCTGTACAGAAGTTTTAAAGGCACGGATTATTGTTGATCTATTCAGAAAATATTCAAAATCAAATCATAAGCAGCCCATAATGTCTGAGGCATATGCATTTATAGAGAAAAGTAAATGAATGCATGGGATTTGAAAAGAAACGATGCTCAAGACCAAAGTGTAGGACAATTTATAAAGCATATTCCTCTGAGAGTCTACTGGGTGGGGGGCAGTGAACAGAAGGGAATGCATCAGAAATGTTTTCTATCTCCTCCCTGAAGACTCTGATAGAAACTGTCTTTACTGGTTCAGTGTTATTTAACCACCATCCAGAGATAACATGATAGCCCATAACTGTAAGTACTAGCCAGGACGGAACCTCTTTGTAATTCCCTATTTCAAGAACCTGCACCCGATTCCATGGCAGTTTGAGCAGGGAAAGCCATGCCCAAGCAGTGCTCCCTAATTAACAGGAGAGACTTTAACAGAGGTATTTCTTCTTTGACTTATGGTTGAAATAATTAAGTATCTCTCAGCAAGCAGGTAAATTTGCATTGAATTCTCACATTGATGGCATCAAGGCATTATCTATATTAACATTCAGCATACAAGATACGGGCAGAGAGGGTGAATTGAAAGGTTGACTATGAATATCATCACCTAGGGGAAAAAAATTTGAGGTACGTTGATATTGATAGTGATTAAGTAATTGTCTGAGGTTTCGATCCTTCAGAGAGGCATGAACATAAACTTTAAATCTATGACTTGTCACAATGAAGACAGTTCTTTGACTGCAAGTGACATTGCTTTTATGTTAACAGTCATCATACCAAAAGTTAGACTGGGATTTTTTTTTTTAAATTTGGGTATGCCGTTTCCTTCTGCTCCCATGAAAAGCCTAGATTTGCTACATATTTGAGCATACAATAAAATTGTTTTCACATTTTAGTTCATTAATACAGTTAGATCTCCCACCAGCTGCCCGGCTGATAACTGAGAAAAGTGGGATGGTTACAGTGACTCTTTTGTCTCATTGCCTGTCTTTGCACGATTTGCAGAAGAAAAAGAAATTTTAGCCCCATCCCTCCCCACTAAGCAAAAGGTCTCCTGAGTTATACTTTACCCACCTCCGTTTAAAGAAAAAAAAATGTTCCTTGTGAATGAATTGTTTTCAAAAAGGAGTAAATACAGTGACTGCAAGAGAGATATGATTACGCTGCAGAGACCTCTCTGGAGCATAAGCCATTGGAACTGACGCACAAAATGGCAGCTAACAACCACCGGCGCTCACTCTTTACAAAAGCCTTAGCACAGAGTGCACTGCTCCCATCCTCTTTATTCACTCAACTGAATGTACCACTCTGACCCGTAAAATACTTTTCAGCGCCTATAGGGCAAAACCATCCTGGAGTTCAGCTTGTGCTTGCCTCTATTGCCCACTTAAACCCAGATCTGTAAAAGTGTGTCTGCTCTCTCGGTGCTCGCACGGAAGCTACTGGGGCACAGATGGTCTGCTGCTGCGTGAAGACTGCCCAGGCAAGAAGGATATTTCAGGATCGTGCCCTTAGTTCAGCATTTTGGGCACATCTCAGCAGAGGAGAACAAAAGGCTATACAGCTATGATATCATTCTCACGAGCTATATTTCAGCATAAGCCACTATAAGACCTCTCCCATGACATCAGAGCTGTGAAATATAGCTGACTTCAAGTGCAGAAAATTCCCCCGCAGGACTAATTGTTTTCTGGCAACTGGCATTTAAAGGGCTGATCCTTTAAAAGGCTGGCACACACCCACCCATTACAGCAGGCAATTCTGCTCTAGGCAGTACTGCTGAGGAAACGTTATGTACGGGAGCACAGGTATTGAGCCCCACTGTGGGATTTGTCCGTAGGGGTAATGAGACGAACGCTGGGGGTGCCTGTCGAGTGATGATTTTCGCTCCATCACGCCTCAGCAATCCATGCGGACTTCACTAATAGCAAAATAATAGGTTTGCCCATATGCTCTGCCCCCTACCTCAGACCCTGCCTCCCCAATAAGGCGAGCCATGCGCGCACAGCCAGCACTAACGTCTCATCAGTCTTTTCACATCTACACTCAGAGCAAATATCATGACAGGCCTGCTGTTAAATGGCACCTCGCCAGGGCTGCCACTGCCCAGGGCACTAATTAACTCACCTGGGCAGGCTGCAGCCTCGCCCCAAAGCAACCTGACAATAAAATGCAAGTCAAAAATACTGTGCGAGACATAATCTCCTCTTTCATATCACAACAGAGAACATGCCCACCAGAACAGACTCCGCTCGGAGCTGGGGGTTTAGAAGAGCGGATGTTGGCAGAGCCGTAAATGAGGAGACCCTAAGGATACAGGAGAAAGGGAACAGATAATATGAAAACGGGGAGAGTTAAACCAAGCTCAGTTCTCTGTAGCCTGGTGCCTGACTCTGCCCATGTCCCCCTCTAACTACCTGCACATTTATTTACTGGTGCTCCATTAATCACCTTGAATGCAACTGCTGTATACATTATAAAGCTCAGTCACTTTGGCTTTTTCTATTCTGCTCATTTTTTCTCCCACTCTCCTCTGTGAAGGTCTTCTTGTTTCTAAGGGAAAAGCACACTGGGCAGTGGGTCTGTACTTACTGTTACATCTGTGTGTGCATGTGTGTGTGCGTGTGTGTGTCTGTGTGTGTGTGCGTGTATGTACCTGCTGACATATGCATGTGTGGGTGCCTGTGTTCGTATACAGCTGTCTCACAACACTCAAAGCCTTAAACGGACACAGTTCCCATAGACTACAGGACAAAGTCGTTTTTTTACCTACAGATGACTCATGGTTGTTAATGAGAGCTAAGTGCAAACTTTCCCTTTGCTCAGGAGACTACACTGCTTCAGAAAGAATTGTGCCTATTCCACTCTTCCTCCTAATGTTGAAAAATGGATTCCTCCTTCCCCAGAAGTTACCTTTTTACTGTATTTTACCTTGAGAACCAGTAAAACAATATTGTTTGGACAGCCCTGTTCCATTACTATCCATCTAACAGCTATGTGGTACTTCTTTATAGAAAATGATTTAGTAAGAGCAACTGTAAGAGACTTGAGGTTATTTATATAATTTATTATTAAGAACAATGACAACCAGAAGAGTGGCTAACCTGAGGCACTGTAAATGCTTTAACTCCATCAGTGTAGCTCACAGGCTAAATTCTCCCTGACCTTTAAAAAACTAGAGACACCTTATATAGCAAAGAATTTGGTCTTTGATATAGAGTATAATTCTAATAGTACTGTGCAAAATGTTTACAACAGAAAACAAAGCGAAAAATTTCTCTTCTGGATTTGGTTGGAAGTCAGCAATTTCTATTTACAAACATTGATAGCTGCTGCACTGAATTTTGAGCTGTTTCAGAATGATTTATAGTTTTTGAAGAGGATAATTAAAAAAAAAAAAAACCTTTTCCAAAGAGCATCTGTGCAAAACAAAATGCAAATCAAATATATGATCCTTCTTCAAGAGTATTAATCTGTTTGGACTAATAATTGAACAAAGTATCTATGAAAAATATTCTTATATGTTGTTGAATGTTTCTGTACACTAATTTTAATTTCTTCAGACGTAAAAAGTGTTCTAAAGCTGTTCATTAAGCATTTTTGCATGATTGGCCACCTGAGACACATAGTATCGTATCTTCTTCCTGAATGGAAGATTTCAATTTTTTTTTTCAAATAGAATAGTCAAAATCACAGTATGGTACTGTTTGTATAGCTTTGTTCCTGATGAAATTCTTGCAATCTTCAGAGATTGGGATCATTTTCATAATTATTTTTTTTGTGTCCAGATATTTCATATAAATAATAGTAGGAAACAGTAGCTATGAAGAACCCATAGATAAAGATGAATTAGCTGCAAGGTTTTGTTTTTAAAAGCTATTAACTAAAATATTTGCATATATAACTATGTAGTTTAAGATCATATACTCACTATAAAACTCTGGCAGTAGGTAACTCAGAAAATCAAATTGTTCACTTAACGTCCTACACAGTCTCAAACAGCTCTTAGACATCTATATTGATATTGACATATCAATATAGAAGATATTGACAAATATGTACATTTATTTCACTAAGCCATTTACCTGATCCTTCTCAAATGAAATCAAAGGCAAAATTCTTAAATTTGAAATAAAAATCCTGGAGCCATTTAAGTAAGTCCAGGCTCTTCAGCCCATAACTATAACAACCTAATACCTCCTGGGAAGGCAATGTGCACTCTTGCTAGCCCTTCTTAGATGTTGTAATGTAACCCCATCCATATCCCCAGTCACTATCTAATCAGTTATATCCCTAAGTCCAGATGTAAAAAGAGAAATATCTAGTGTGCATTAATCCAGGAATGGGAGTAAATAGAGGTGAAGGAAAAAAATAAAGATCAGGAATACTTCCTCCTACTCAATACAGATTCACTTTGATCATTTGAAGGACCACTTGGAATGTTTTTGAGCCAGAAAGCCTAGCTTTTCAACAATTGCTATTACTCTTCTACTTTTTGGAATTATTTGCTGTAATGATTAAGTACCTTTGAAAATCCTTAAAATGCTGTCATTTTTCTTTTCAGATATCCTTTGAGACTGCAAAAACTATTTAAAGAAAGAAGAAGGCATGAGACTGGATTCCGTACAGTAAAGTAGGTTAGTCTGAGGACAAGAAAATAAGTCATTATTTGCACCTCCTTGTGCTGCCGTGATGAGAACTTACCATTGCTTCTGGCTGCTGTTTTGGGCTGGTCAGCCCCACCAAACTTTCTTAACTTTGTTGTCCAAAAGGACTAGTGGCTTCCCAGAAAAGGAAAAGGTTTTGGTATTGTCTGGAAACAGCAGGAAAGACTTCAATCGTTCCAAAAGGAGCTGGATGTGGAATCAGTTCTTTTTATTGGAGGAATATACAGGGACCGACTACCAATATGTTGGCAAGGTAAGACTCTTTTAGACACGTATACCTTTTGATTTCAAAAGCATTAGAAAGTCAGCAATAACAAGTAGGTATGAATGATGTTTACTACAACTGTTAGTGCTCATTTCTTCCTGTCCAGCTTCAGTGGGCAAAAGGTTTGCATACTTCAGCTTCAAATTGTAATCAACAGCAGGGAAGGTAAAGTTCCTAGTTCAACCTGTGAGTCCCATGGCCAATCACACACAATCATTTTAAAGATTTTCCTTTCATTTTTGTCTGGAAATAATGCAGCTCAATTATAGGAGGATATTCTAGACCGGATTCTTACCTTTAAAATTTGATCTGCCTTTTCCCTTATGCTCATTAATTTTGGTAGAGTTCAACCATATGGACTAGAAGAGGGTTTGGTCCAAGATATTTAGGATTCACAGTGCCAGTATTTTGTTGAGGTTTATCTCATCCATTTCATTTCTCATTCCCCACTGCAGATACTAGCGCTGCAACCATTTTCTGATGAGGTTTTGTGATGCCACTTAAGACTCTGTAATGCGATCATAGTAACACAATCCATGCTCTTAGGCAGAGTTGAAGCACGCTGTGCTTATGCATTGGGAAACAACAAATCTCTGAACATTTCTATGCTCAAAGCATGATAACAGTTAGAAAAGGTCTGTTAAAAAAAAAAAGCACAACTCTGAGAATAGCTACCTCCCTGAGCAGCAGTGTCCCATGCAGACAACAACCTTTATGTGAACTGAAGAGCTAATGCAACTGTGGTTACGTCCAAAAGCTTAGTTTTCCAATCTAAAATGGAATTGTGTCTGATCTGGTTTGATCTTTCAAGCCTCTTAGCAAAGGCTGAAGATCCCAATGGTTTGGCATTTATCTCCTTCTGCAAGGTTCTGAGCATTCCTATGAGAGATGATGGCTACTTTTCTTGCCTGCCAATCAGCTGTCAGTCAAAGTTGGATGTGACACTCCTTTCCTACTAAAAGGCTGCAAGGCATGATTCAAATGAAGAGCTACTCAGCTGGTACAATACTCACAGAGCTCCAACCAGGATAATCAACATTCATGAAGAGTACCATTGAGCCCAATCTACAAGAAAAAGCCAAAGGCAGAGAGTCTTCAGAGAGGAGAAATAGAGAGAGAAGAAGTGGGTAGGAAAAAGAGTCAGGAGAGAGTAAGAGGGAAGAACTAGGAAGACAGAGGTGGACTGAGAGGAAACTTTGCACAGAAAAATCTAGATAGAGGAGTGGAAAGGGAAATCAAATGGGGCTAGAGGATAAAGTCAGGAAGAAAGGTTACCTAAAGAGAGAATAATAAAGCAGAAGATGAGATGGTGAAGGGAAAAAAAAATAGGTAAGAAATACGGAGTCTAGGAGAAAAAAGAATACAAACTGAAAGGCTGAAAGGTGGTCTGCCACCCACTCTCCTATTTCACACACTTCTTGGGGGGCAGGAAAAACAGGGAGCTCTCTCCCCAAAGATAAAGCATGGGGTGCTGAGATGAGTTCCACAGCCTGTCATTTATGCTATGACATTAAGGCTGTTAAAATCCCAGGCCCCCTATTCTCTCCACTGTTGAATTTGAGTAGAAGCTACTGACTTCAGAGGGATTGATGGGAAAGCAAATATTACCTCACGATGAGTTTGCTGAGAGGTAGTTAAAAATGGTCTAGCTGGACCAGAAAAACCAAGAAAGTTTGAACTGGAATCACTGAGAGAGAAAAAAATGTGGAAGACCATAATATTATTTTGAAGAGTTACTCTTCTGCCTGTTGGCTCTTTAATACATTCACTAGTACAAAGCATAGAAACGACACATAATGCATAAATGTCATTGATTCTGTGTCCCTGGGCTATTTGCAAGTGGCCTTTCACATGTCTTTCAAATGCCAGAACTGCTCACACCCTTGTAATTGAACAATTAGCCAAGAGGCATGAAAGAGAAGCCGTTTATTATTAGAGAAAGTTGAGTATTGGTGTGAGGATTAATGACAGAAATAGCTGGATGTCTCTAAATTGAGGTAACCAGGCAATTTAACTGAACAATTAAACTTGATTGGTGTGGGCAAATGAGGATAATGAACATGTTTATTAAGCATATTTTCTCTCAGAGGATGTTAACTTTAAATATGAGCTGACCAAGATAAGAAAATTTGGTTATAGTATTTTTGTTCTATCATAAAGAAAAGTAAACAAGAAAATCACTAACAACCTTAGCAACATATCTAAGTAAAAGGGAGTTTTGCTTATGTCTGACTGCTAATGCAGTCAGATCTGGTTCTTGTTTTTCGTGTTCAGTAGTTGAAACCAGTGGGCATTAACATCAGAGTTATAAAAAATGATTCCACATAAGTGGTCAACAATAACAATTGTTACTTTTTTTTCTGTTAATTTATTAACATCTGTTTAATTCAAATATCTATATCAAAATTTGAGATTAAAAAATTCCATTGTAAAATATTCCAACAACATTATTTCTATAACCGCTCAAATTACAGTTGGAATAACCGTTTATACTAGAAAAACAAATTTGCGTCACAGTATTCTTGGAGAGGACGGGAGGAAGGGAGGAAGGGAGAAGAAAAATTAATTTAGGTTTGAGATAATAAAAGAAAGGTGATCTCTCTGAAGATATCAAACAGCGGTAGATTTCAGGGCACTACTGAAGACAGTGCTGAAGTAGTATCTGAGTAATGGACCAGAGCATTATTGTGCTAGGTACTGCATGTCCAATGTACTTCAGAAAGTATATCCAATGAATGTCCTTCAGGTGCTAACTGTATAAGCACATATGAAACAAAGTAGCCCTTATTTGGTACCTATGGACACCATAAACTATTAAAAGGTGGTCCAGTTTTGTATGTTGGAGTTTCAGCACCAGCCCAGGTATGCTGCCATATCACATGTGCAGGTGATGAGAAGAAGAAACTTCCAATGTTATCAATACAAACTGATAGCACGCAGTGGTTCTGACACCAGATCCACTATTTTGTTTTCCAGTTCTTGTACTCGTGAATTTCAGTGTATTTTCAAAAATGAAGTCTTAGAAGAAAAACAGAATGTAACACCTCCAGTGTTGGTTAGTCTCAAACATAACAATATAAAAAACTTGCAGAAAAGTTCTAGACTGGAATTATTCATTGTGCTGCTGAATATCTTATGAACTGCAGCTATTCATTGGAGTGTGATTGACGAGCACAGTGACATTTTAACCTGAAGATACCTTTTCTTCTGGTTCAGAAATTATGGCACTTGGCAGGGACTCAATCCCAAAATAAAATAAAAGGATTACGTGGGCATCAAAGTAGAGAAATGCCCGGCACTACTGTGCAGCAAAAATCTGGAACATTTGAGTTAGGTTTCTAAAAAGATCTGCTTGTACCAGTGCCTGCTTAATAGGATTTTAAAGGGCTAGGGTTAATGCGTCTCCAAATCCCAGGTAAACAGCGAAGTGGTAGTGCAACTATATACAGAAATATACACTATGTTCCCTAGAGGTGTTCAGAATATATCAGCACAGTAACCCTATCTCTCCATTTGTATGCAGTTGATGTCTTTACACAGCCATCCCATTGGCTACATAAAATCCATGTACTGGCATCCATCACTGAGTGGTCTTGTCAGACCACAAACTTACAAGTCACTGTTAAATAAAGGAATAGGATGCATCTTCCTTTCAGACTAAAGAAAGGTCTGAACAAATCTTCAATCTTATTCATTAACCCAGAAATAGCTTCTGGTAGCCTCCAGTGGAAAGCAACATCTTGCTTTCCTGATAACATCAGGGACAACAGTAGAACAGTTTTGTCACGCTCTGTCTGGCACTGGAAGGAAATTTCGAGACACACTTTTCATTTTTGCTATATCTTATTGATATTCATATAATTCAAGCAGTGTGCTTGCCTATAAGCTATCTGATGTTACTACCTGTACGTCCCATCATAAACAATCATTCTCTGCTGACAACTCCATCTTTCAAGGAAGATAAAGTCAAAGTCCTTCTGCTATGTGGTCTTGCAAAGCAGAAGGGATACTGCATTACTTGGGGCAAAACCAGAATCCTTTTGTTTAGTTTCTTTGGTGTCAAAAGAACCATATGTAAAGATAGGTTCTCCTCTGCGGGGCTTTGGGTGAGGAGGAGATGAACTGAATGGCATAGCAAGATACTTTCAGGTACTTTTTTTCTTTCTTTTCAATGATTTTACTTCTGGATACAGCTGTTTTGAAGGTAAGGAGAACAGTCCCCTGCAGGATATTTCACCAGAATCAAATCCAACAAAAGCTAGAATCTCTCCAAACCGTTAAAAGTGGTGAGACTAAGTCACTTACAGAGAGAAAAGATATTTGACTGTAAGCACACACAAAAGGCTGTTTAAACAAAAAAAAAGTTATTACTATATAATATAGTCCATGTATTTTCAGCATTTCAGGCAATAATGGGTCACATACTCCAGCAGTACTCCAGCAGTTAGAAGTTATCATATCTTAGCTGGATGACAGGATAACGAGTAAGAGAAATCTTCCCTTTCTCTCAGAAATTTAGTAGGCTAGCATTCTGTCCTTATCATCAAAACTATTGTTCTCAAAAAAAAGCAAGATGTGAAAGGTCAAACTAAAGTGACTATTTGCACCTGCGCTTTTAACATACACTATGCAATCCTGTTGGCAAACACCTCCTCAGCATTTACTTTCTCTTCCTTCTACCTTGCGCTGTGATATACTCCTGATGTTTTTGGTTTCCTGCTCCAAATACAGTTACTATTTGTTATCTTAGTGAGGCTTAAAAATAAAATTTATATCTGTGACTTCTATTTATTCAGTGAGCCTATTCCAAAGGGTTTCCAGTTTTTCTCAGTGTTCAGAATATCACTTCTATAGGGCTAGATTCTGCACTCTGCTTCCAAGAGAACTAGCAGCCCAAGAGACAGGCTTTAAGTCACTGTATGACCTCTCAGTCCTGAACAATGCCTGGCCTTGGAGTGGTTCAAAGCAAAACTGAAGAGAGCCATCAG